AAGTGGTGAAGAACGAGTGATTCAACTTTATTGAATAAAATTTAACGTAATTAACCTGTTACTATCGACTCGTGTTTAATTACTTTGAATTATCGAAATATTTCCAATGTTCTGAAATTTCGTTGTTTCTGTAGGTACGACACACAAAGACGACGATCAGTATGTTGCTTCGTAGTTGAAAAACAAGAGGAATTACGTGCTTGGTAAATTGCGCCACTCATTTGTTAAATCGATCAACTCCGGAGAAAAATTGATAAAGCATACATTTTTTTTCCAAAATTTAAGTTCTAAAATTAATTATTTTAGTCTTCTAAAACTTAAAATTATATTTTCATTGAACATCCCAAAAAAGAATGAATCTCAAATAATATTGTAAACTGTTAAGTGATATAGCCATATACTTGTCAAGCAATAAGTGGAAACATTCCTTATTGGTAGGACACCAAACCTTGTGAAGAAATTCTGAAAGATTACAAAAGATTGACATTCCTCGATTCAGTCTGATCTTCAAACAGTTTGAAAAATATGAAGCGGGTGTAGTTCGTGTTACATAACAAATGCCTATATTTTACCTGTAAACATGACATTTATTTCGATAGTTATATACAAGACTCGCGTAACCACACAATGAAAGTCCTGTGACGAGCATTAGGCTCTCAGAGAATACGCTTTTTCCAAGTGTCCGGACGCTTTTTCGACTTTTCGTTTATCGTAGGCTGTTCGAGACTTTAGTTGAAATGAAATATGCAAGTCTGCAGAAGATTGAAAGCAGAAAAGAAACGAAATTGAATAAAATGAAACGAGAAAAGACGAGAAACAGAAAAAAAGACAGAGAGAGAGAGAGAGAGAGAGAGAAGATTGAAGAAACGAGCGATGGGGAAAAATACGCAAAACGAAAAGACAATATATACAGTGTTTCATCGATTCTCTTTACTAGGCATGTAGATCACATTTAGAACTCGCCCGTTAAACGTTCGCATCGTGATATTATTTTATACTTCGTCAACAAAAAGACGCCGGCCGTTCATCGTGAAAAAGCGAATAGTTTTTTTTTTTTTTTTTTTTTTTTTAGACAGTAAGAAGGGAATTATTTTTAAAAGCCGCTTATTGTGAACGCTTACCGTATGCTTCATTCATCTTGTTTAATCGTTTCTTTTCTTTCTTTTCTTTTTTTTCCATTTCCTCGTTTAACGTGTGTTTTGAGCTGCCTCGGAAATCGATAACAATCAGTTTAGAATTAATGCAGTTTGCGTCAGTATAGTAGTTTAGTAAGAAGTTCGTTAAATACGATGTAATATGACGCGAACGCGTTTA